CTGCCCGGCTCGGGAGCCCTGAGGGGGGGTTTCTGGCGAGTGTGTGGGCTGTGTCCGGGAGGAGGGGGAGGGCGGGGGGGCAGCGAGACCCCCCATAAGCGGGAGGGGCTCCCGAGCCGATCATTAATTGTGAAAAAGATTAATTTGTTCAAAAACCTTGGAGCCTGACGAGGCTGGATCAATGCTGACCTTGGCCAGCCTGATAGGAAAATGAGTGTTTTGGACGTGCCACCTCTTCCCCGGCCACGCCATTTTCCCCAGCTTTGGCTGTTGCCTCACGTAGCCCATCCAGCATAGGCTGGGGCAGCGACACAGGTTTGAGTATTTCATGCTCTGCTATACGTGAGTTGGTCTCTGTAAAGAGCGTTCCCTGACTGATTTTTGTATGCAGAAAGTAACTGAAGTGTTAAAACAGTACCTTTTAATTTCACAGGCATCACACACCTGGGAAATGTGCAACAAAGTTAAGATTTAACTAAATGTTAGAGAGTCCTCTCATCATATCGCATCTGCTGATCTCTCCAGCCAGCCTGCCCTTTTCTTCCCACCCACTTACAGGCTCACGCTGAGGTTACACGCCGAGGTTACGCTCCGGGTTGCGGTGGAGCACCCAAACCAGGTTAACCGCTCACCTCGCCATCCTGGCTCCACACCTGGCCATTGGCTCCTGCCCCTGATTTGCTTCCCTGAGCAGCGCTGACGTCGGCACCCTCATAACCCTGTAGTTGAACACCGAACTGATCAGCTGAAAGGTAGCAACCCTCCCCCCCAAAAAAAATCAGAAAATAAATTATGTTTACCTGTTGGCATCGCAAATGCCTGTCTGCTGAGTCCCGAGTGTTGCACAGAGCTCAGCACGTTTGCAGTACAAGTGGTAAATGCTTAAGGCATAATTGGCACTGAAAATATGTTCTTCAAACCAACTACACCCTCAGCCTCCATCAGAGAGGATAGAAAGTGGGCATCTATTTCCAAAACACAGCTTCATCTGGATCCCCACTGCACTGTTCACCTCCTTCCTTGGATGCCCACCTGTTCTATTACACAGGACACTAGCGGCCAATGTGATTTCTTCCTCATCTCCATAACACAAAGTAGGAAGAGGTGAGGAAGACGGGTAGCCATCTCTGTAGACAGATGTTACGAAGAAGCCTAACTCTTTATGTATTTGGTTAGTTGTCAATTAGAAAAGCAAACCCAGGCTGGTATTAGCTTGCTGGAAGTCAGAAAATAACCACACTTTCTTCAGCTTTAAGTTTGGATGACAGCGCAGAGCACTGGCAGTGCTCAGCATCCTACCTTTGTGCTGCTGCCCTGCAGGTGCTCTTGAGGTACACTGTGCCTTGGCACGGGCTGAGATGCATGAAAGAAGCAATATAAAGCTACCACTTTTCACATCTAAGGGATGAAAGCCTTAAAAAATCTGAAAATAATATTACTTTTGCTATCATGAAATCCACCTGTGAGTAGATAGATAGTGCTGTTTTCAGTTGTCACTAGGGACAAAGCAGTTCTTGCTAACACACTGGTAAAGGCAAGCCTACACAGGGGCTTCTTGTAGAGTCATTTTTGGCATGCAACTTGTAGGAAGTTTGAATTTTGCAAGTCAGCTCTGCACTACTAAGCAGCTTTAGACGCCGTTCATGAAGCAACAAGAGCACAACAGCAGCTGGCCTCCAAGAGAACAAAAAGCAAGGTGAAAAGGTTGATAAGTTGCTTCAGAAGGCATTTTTTGTAGAGTATCTTTAGTCTGCAGCACTTCCCCACTTGGAAAGCAAGCGTAGACTTGCTGGAGATGATGTTCTGCAGGCAGGGAGTGGCTGCAGCTAGAGAAAGCATTATCCCGAAGGTCTGTGTGTGGCTTTCCCCAGGGCTGCCAAGGTACTGCGCCAACCTGAGAGGTCCCAGGCCACTTCTGAATGGTGTAACCATCTGTCTGGAAGTTTGCAGCCTGCACTTTTATAATCAATATTGCACAGTCCTGGAGAGATTACTGATGGGTGATGTCCATACACACACCAGTTACATTGGTGCGACTCGTGAAACACAAATACAGCATCCTCCTGGCCTACTCGGGTTTATAGCAAGGCCAAATGGCGCCTGGGATGGGATGACTCCGGCTCTCTGGAGGTAGCAGGATTTCCTTAGCAGCCTGTGTCACTAACCTGCCGGGGGACAGGGTCAGGAGATGGGTAGGGGGAAACTGAAGCTTTGAGGCATTCCTCACAGTGACCCTGCTCTGGCTGGCTGGTGACAGTCGCTTCCTGACACCCCTCACAGGAGATGCTACATTTTGGGAGAGATGTGCAGAAAAACCCATCTGTATGAAGACCGCAAAGGGGCCAAAATCCCCAGCAGCAACAGTAGCGCCTCTCTTCTTTCCCTGGTGCTTTCCTGTGCAGAGGGAACAATGACCGACTAGGAGAAGGAGCACCTCTGAACACGGTGCTTCGTGCATATGGCTGAATCTTCCTGCTGCTCACTCCCTCTCTTGTCCCTGGGCCTTGTTCAGCTTCCTCATATATTATCTTCTCCCTATCGAGAGCAAAATTCTCTGCTTCCTCTCCCCGCGGCTCCTAGTGCTGTTTCTTCTCTCTCTGTCATTTTGAACAAGCTGTTCCTTGTCCTGTCTTCTCCATTGCACTAACTCCATGTAACAGTTTCACCCCTCCTACCATCTCCTTCATACTTGGCTTTTATTCTTATTAATCCATATTTTTTTAGCACTTGGAAAACTGGCCTCTGGTCAGAGCTGGGGGGATGCACAGCATAGGTAGTTTGCACTGGGGAGGATGGTGAGGCTGTCAGAATTTCCTGCAGTACCTGGCCAAACAAGGACTGACCACTTTATTCTGTAGTTTTAGCATTCTATAGATGAGGTTCATCTGCTTTAGCTCAAGAGAATGAAGCGTACTGGTATCTGTACGTGAGACAGAAAGCTTGTGGTAAACTCATGTGCCATTTCTTCACTAAGCAACACTATGAAGTAAAGGTTTCGAGAGAACTATGAACAATTGTTAACTGTGGACATGGTCCTGCTCAAAGAAAAAATTACATTATTATTATTATTATAAAAGAATGCAGTCGAGCTTATTTCAAGTTCAGTGTCATCTACCCGATCCTTCTCCACATGAAAGAAAAAAGCAGAGCAATTTTTATAATTACTCATTTATAGACTGATACGTTATTAACACTTCTAGTAGTCATAGGAAGTAGTTATTTTTTATGGGAAAGGATCCATGTTTGTCCTCCCTGGAAATACAGTAAAGCATTGATCTACATTACCTCTGCGACAGAAGACTGGCTGGTTGGCCAGGCCCAAAGAGTTGTGGTAAATGCAGTTAACTCCAGTTGGCGGCCAGTCACGAGCGGTGTTCCCCAGGGCTCAGTATTAGGGCCAGTTCTGTTTAATATCTTTATCAGTGATCTGGACAAGGGGATCGTTTGCAGACGACACCAAGTTGGGCAGGAGTGTTGATCTGCTCGAGGGTAGGAAGGCTCTGCAGAGGGACCTGGACAGGCTGATCCATGGGCCGAGGCCAACTGTATGAGGTTCAACAAGGCCAAGTGCCGGGTCCTGCACTTTGGCCACAACAACCCCATGCAGCGCTACAGGCTTGGGGAAGAGTGGCTGGAAAGCTGCCTGGCGGAAAAGGACCTGGGGGTGCTGGTCGACAGCCGGCTGAACATGAGCCGGCAGTGTGCCCAGGTGGCTAAGAAGGCCAATGGCATCCTGGCCTGTATCAGAAATAGTGTGGCCAGCAGGAGCAGGGAAGTGATAGTGCCCCTGTACTCAGCACTGGTGCGGCCGCCCCTCGAATACTGTGTTCAGTTTTGGGCCCCTCACTACAAGAAGGATGTTGAGATGTTGGAACGTGTCCAGAGAAGGGCAACGAGGCTGGTGAGGGGTCTGGAGAACAAGCCTTATGAGGAGCGGCTGAGGGGGCTGGGGTTGTTTAGCCTGGAGAAAAGGAGGCTGAGGGGAGACCTCATTGCTCTCTACAACTACCTGAAAGGAGGTTGTAGCGAGGTGGGTGTTGGTCTCTTCTCCCAAGTAACTGGCGAAAGGACGAGAGGAAATGGCCTCAAGTTGCGCCAGGGGAGGTTTAGATTGGATGTAAGGAAAAATTTCTTTACTGTAAGAGTGGTTAAACATTGGAACAGGCTGCCCAGGGAAGTGGTTGAGTCCCTATCCCTGGAGGTATTTGAAAGACATGTAGATGTGGTGCTTAGGGACATGGTTTAGTGGTGGACTTGGCAGTGTTAGGTTAACGGTTGGACTTGATGATCTTAAAGGTCTTTTCCAACCTAAATGATTCTATGATTCTATGACTTCTTTACTTTTCATAGTATTTCATTAATATTTTTATGTTTTCTCCATTAAAAACTCTTAAAACATCCTGAAATGATTAAATTGTTCCACAGAAGACTAATGCAGAAAGCTAATTCATGAATGAGGTAAACAATGAAAAGGAAAACATAGTAAAATCATAAGCAGAGAATGACACTAGAAAATAATTTAATGAAAGATGTAATATATCATAATGGAGCACATTGCCATGTGTGACTCTTGTATTACCACATCAAGGGTGTGTTGTGTGGCAGTCGGCCAAAACTCATTGTTTTCTATTGTTCTGGGTGTGATCCTGAAATGTTATCATTTTTCGTATTGCAGCTGCTGTTACAGATGTCTGCCATTGGGTTGAAGATGGAGGGGAGCATCCAGTGTTAGGGACTTACCTCAGCTTACCATCTATCTGCATCCACGTGAAAGCAAACCTCGCCTCATTTCAGGAGTCAGAAGCTTGCTGCCTGATTTTTCTTCTTCCCATGCCACCGTAGATGCAACTCCCAGAAGGCAGCAATGTGGGGGACTGACCTGTGGCTGCCAGGACGTTGCAGTTTGGAAGAGAAGTAGTTTTCTAGGATCTTCCAGATGTTTTGCTTCTAGCAGTGACAGGAAAATGGATGAAGAAAGTATGATTTCTGTTTGTCATTCTGATTGCTTTCCTGCATTATTATTTGGAAAACACTGAAGGAGCGAGATGCCAATGAAGTTATAATGTCATTCTTCATGTTTGAATTATTTATCCTTTTATGCCATTCCTCTCTGTGCTTCCCATTACGTTACTTTCTTTTTTTTAGTCCCGGCAGTAATTAGTATTACAACATACAGAGCTGTAGAAAAGGCTGTATTCGTTTACATAGTAAACTCCCAGGGGAAAAGAGATGTTATTTTACTCTCCTGGGTAAGCCCAACTACTGTAGAGTTATTTGAACGTAACATTGATTAGTTTGAAAACTGGGAAGAAAAGAAAACAGACATATTTTCTGTTGTTGCTGGATCTCGTTGGTATGAAAACCAAAATGTTATATCTGGGACCCAGTTCAGTCCTTCTGCATTTTGAGATCATACATGTCTTTCAGGTATATACAAAGGTATAGTTTTAGCCAAAATCAAGGTCTTAGACTTTGTGCCTCCAAGGCTCAAGCAAATGCTCTGTACAAACATTTTGTGAAACCTCTGTGTACATAGAAAACTTTTTAAAGAAACCAACTGTTTGTACTTTATGCTTTTTACACAGGCATCCTTATTCTGCTGTGTTCGCTTTCATAGCACCTTACAGATAACATTCCTATCGATACAGCTCTATGTAACACCTGCATTTTTCACAGTGGCAGAGTATTTTTGAACAACACTCACTTGTGAGCCACTACGATTCCAAATTCTTGTCTGCAGGATTGTTGCCAGCCCCGTTGCTCCCTGCCTGCCTTTTCTTTGCTGGGTTCTGCTTTCTGCTTCCAGGTAGAAACCACTGATTTACATCCTGTCTTTCAGACCACTCTTCCAATTTTACAAATAACTCCGAGTTTTAATCCTCTGCCCCTCTCCATTTTGTGTCTCCCCAGAACTAAATGGGAGATTCTGTGTTTCCTTATCCCTGCTAATAAGAAAATTGAATAGTACAGGCACAAGGAAAGACTCTGTCAGAATTATGTTACCAGCAGAATCGTAGGTAACTATTCTTTGATGATGGGCTTTTTGGAGTCTTGGGGGGAAAAAAAGGAGAGCTGTGTAGAAAAAGTGCCATCAGGCGGCAGTGTAGCCCAGGGATGGAAGCGCC